ACTTAAATATATATATAAAAAAAAAAAAAAACAATAAAATGTAAAAGAATAAAATAGGGGCACGATTCACCAACACTACTTTTTCCATGGATATTTTTTGCCTGATTCATGCAGTCTGACTTTCTGTATTTTGTCCCAGCCAGCACAAAGCTCTTCATAGAGTTATTCCTTACTGACTGTCTCTTCATCTTGAGGGCAGCTGCCACCTGCTCCAGGTCAGTGAATGAGAACTCCCCATATAGACCAATCAGTTTCAGTTTACCATTAGATTTTCTGGTGAAAAATTAAACCACTTGTCAGTGTATGCAACGACTAAGTCATAGAACCAAACAAAGTCCTGTTGCTGCTCCTTTTTGCCGATACTTGTTTGCCCATCAGCTGCTTGGTCTGTTACTTTTAATTTTACATACCTGTCATTTTTTTCCTCCAGCTGCCATCTTACCTGCCACTCCACTGCTGCCTCTGGTCTCCAGCCTCATGTCCTCCTCCTTTCACCTGCAAAACAAGATGAGTCCATATCTGTGTGTACTTATAACTTACCACTAAAATATTACTCACTTTACTGCAAGAGGCTCGTACTCACTCACTGTCAACTTTCTTTCATCTTCTTCTTCTTCTTTTGGCTGTTCCCATTAGGAGTCGCCACAGCGAATCATCTGTTTCCACCTAACTATCCTCAGCATCCTCTACTCTCACCCCAATTAACTTCATGTCCTCTTTTAGCACATCCATATATCTCCTCTTTGGCCTTCCTCTTGACCTCTTGCCTGGCAGCTCCATCTCCAACATCCTTCTACCAATATAACCACTATCCCTCCTCTGCACATGTCCAAACCATCTCAATCTGGCCTCTCTGACCTTGTCCCCAAAACAGCCGACCTGAGCTGTCCCTCTGATGTGCTCATTCCTAATCCTGTCCATCCTGGTCCCTCCTAAACAGAACCTCAACATCCTCATCTCTGCTACCTCCATCTCTGCCTCTTGTCTTTCCCTCACTGCTACAGTCTCTAACCCATACAGCATAGCTGGTCTCACTACTGTCTTGTACACCTTTCCTTTGATTCTTGCTGACACTCTTCTGTCACACAACACTCCTGACACCTTTCTCCACCCACTCAAACCTGCCTTCACTGGCCTCTTCACCTCTTTCCTACACTCCCCATCACTGTCAACTTTCTTTAAGAGAGACAAAGCAGCCACAGTCTTGGACTACCATCTGTTGGAAAACAAAAAGCACTATCATCAAGGACATCATGGACATGGACACATCAAGGACATCATGCCTGTTGGTCTGGACAACCATCAGTTCACCTACAGAGAGAACCAATCAATAGAGGATGCTGTCTCAATAGCATTACACACAGCCCTGTCCCACCTGGAGCATCCTAACACTTATGTCAGGATGCTATTTGTTGATTTCAGTTTGGCATTTAATACTGTAATCCCAGACAAACTGGCACTGAAACTGCACAATCTGGGAATGCCTGCAATGATGTGTCATTGGATTAAGGACTTTCTCACTAACAGGCCTCAAGCGGTGAGAATCAGAAGCTGCACATCATCCACACTGGTCCTGAACACAGGCACACCACAGGG